AAGGTATTAACATTATTTTATACGTTTAACACTTTAAAAAGTGTTCTTCAAACAGAAATGCACGTATTGCATGTACTTCTAGCCTCCTTTGCAGACGCTATTAGTATCGGTCATAAGAGAGGRAATTTATGACCGATACTAATAACGTCTGCAAAGGAGGCTAATGTACTTCAAACAGCGACAGTATTTTTTTCCAGTCTATGAGAGACTGATATTTGTTGATGTTTTAGTTATGTACATTAAGCGTTGCTGGTTCCGGCAGTCTTACATTTTGATAGTTTTTATGATAGTTWTTATGATTTWTATGATAATTATTATGATTTCAAAACTAAACTTTGTGTAGTTTTAATTAATTWWAAAAAAATGAAATACTTATTAAATTCACACTTCCCGTAAATCGAATCCCAAAACTCSAATCCCAAAACTCSAATCCCAAAACTCCAATCCTAACTCTGGAGATAGTTTATCTCAGTGTACATGGTGGTCAATCTTGTACATTCATTATGTAGGGGCACTCGCCGGTTTACAGGGTCTATAATACCTTTGCTTCTTACAAGTTAGGTTAAGTTGTTAGCTATCTTATAGAGTTCTGAAATGAATCTCTACTCAATCTCTCAGGGGCCGCGGAAGACGGGGGGGCTTCCGAATAATTAGTAATAAATGAAATCGGTAAGATTAAAATAAAAAATACAAAAAAAACAAGATCAGAGCTCGACTATACTGTGACGGCATCAAGTTGGAAACGTTAAAGAGTCAACTTCGCATGCCTACGGACCCCCCTATAAAAATCGCGCCTTAGGCGCTCACCGCCCCCACCCCCCTTAAGGCTGTACCGCTAATACTCAGAGGGAGTTCAGGTGAATTTTGAAAGCTAAGTGCAAATACTGATTATTCAAAAACATCGTAATTGAAAACTGGAATATTATAGTAAGCCAGCAAATACTGCCTTATCACAATTATGCAGATCGAAGAATGATAACAAGTTCTAASTACCTGCAGTTTTCTTTTGTTTTGTCAACAATTCGTGTCCAATTTTGACGATCAGTAGAAGTTTCAATATAGTATCGATAGGAGCGATCGTCACAGTCCCATAGCAACAACCTGCAAAACGATGTAATACCTCATGCTTCCCTTGTTCTTTTTCTTTTATTTCCTTATAGTCTAGTCGTCAAACATTAAAACCCGGAAAAAATGTTATAAAAGCATATTTGGTATCAAAATACACATAATGTTTAGTAGAATAACATATCCAAAATCCGCTAAAATCTGCTTTGGTGAAAAAAAGATATTTTTGTTTGAATTGTTTGCATTTTTCGGTGTATTATTGAATAAATTAATTACAATTAATGATGTAAACAAAGGTATT